GCGACATGTCGAAGGGGGTGAGGTTGCCCTAATGTTGCGATCGGTAGGGATGATACCGAAGGTGAGTGCCGAATGCACCCATAGCCCTGGTTTGGTCCACGTGTCCGATATTCATTGGCTGTTCATTTTGGTATAAACAGGAGTCCCCCAAGTCCTCTTGCGAGAGTTCTCGGAAGGGGATTTGAAGTTGTCATTGGAAGGGAAAGCCGTTCTACCGTTCGGTAAACCGATTTAGTGGAAGGGCTCAATTTTGACCCTTCCGTCCTTATTCGTTCAGAGGCTGGCGTTGGCGAAGTCAGAAGGTCGTGTCGAGTGGACGGATGAAGGGACATCTGAGCGCTTTGACTTCTGTGCCTCGCGTGCCGTCAGTCCCCCATAGGATGAGCGACACGTGGTGGAAGCAATGATGGTGCGCGGCGCATTAATGCGCCGTTTGGTTTCTCGAGGTGTACCGTTGCGAACCCTCGCCCTATAAATAGGGGTGACCCCGAGGGAGAAATCACTTTGCACTTAGTGAGAAGCGAGAGCTCTGTTGAGGCGATTTCCGACGAGAGCTTCCGGTATTCCAGGCGATTTCCGACGAGTGCTAACGGCAACCAGACGATTTCCGACATTGCAAACGGTAGGAATGGCGATTTTTGTCAAGGCGATCTGAAGCGCAGTTCGCGTTTACTTTCCAAAGTGCAAACTAAGGTACCGTTCGGCACCTCCACTTTTCTCTCTTTGCATACCTTAAGAGTTACGTCCTTCCTTGGTTTGAACTAGACTGACCATAGGGTTCCATTCGGTAGTCTAGTCGCCATAAGTAGTGATGTAGGGATCGGTAGGATAGTATCCGGCATGAGCCTTAGTTTCCTTTTTTCCTGTTTTTGTAGATGTCTGATAGCGAGTCATTCTCTGAGCGTGAGCCCAATGCGTTCGATGAGGAGTCATCGGAAGGTCTCTTTGACTCCGATGGTGAAGCGGCAGGGCCCGATGCCGAGGATGGAAGTGATACCGATGTCGAGATACTCGGTGAAGGGCCCGCCCAGCTCCGTCCCAATACATGGTATCGAAAAGGGGCTAATGACCGCTCTGGTGCCGTTGTCCATTGTCTATAGCAACGGCCGCCATGTGGGTCTAGGCGCCCCTGGGGAGGCGAGCGCTAGTCGCCAATCAGAGGCCTCCACTTCTGGCCGTGGAGAGTCAGTTGCCGAACCATCTCCCTGGCCGAGGGTTTCGGTAGTCTATCCCAGCAATCCTAGGGTGCCGATGGAAGTTCCGAAGGAGCTCGTCTTTAGCGTAGATTATTTGGAGCCTAACAGGATCACCGAGAGGGAGATTGCAAGGTTTCGTGCTGAGTACTTCATACCAGATTCGGTAGGCATCCCAAATCCTACCGAATCTCTAAGCAGTCCGAAGGATGGTGAAGTCGTCTTTTTCACAGACGTACTTCTGCAAGGGGTGAGGCTCCCTCTGCAGCCCGCCGTTCAGAGGATCCTGGCGCAGATAGGCTATGCTCCCGGCCAGTATAACCCCAACTTCTGGGTAGCACTAATGGGTGTGGTCACAGCCTTCGGCATGGCTGGCGAGGGAGAGCCTTCATACGAGTAGTTCTCCCATCTGTACAGCGTCACGAAGTCGAAGTCTGCCGATCACGGGGGTTGGGTTCAGGCTAACTGCCTGAAGGCTACCGAGCGTGGCCATTTTGTCAACGCCGTGCCAACCTCCCAGAAAACGTGGAGGAAACGGCGGGTGCTTTTGTCTGGTGACTGGGAGTCGCCCTCGGGACATCCCGTCCGTTTCCACATTCCCACCACGTTTCAAATTGCTGGTAGGCCATCCTACCGTTCGGTAGGACTCCGAGTGTGTCTTCCTTCGGAAATGTTAATTCCGTTTCCCTTTTTGTGTAGGTAAGTTGAAGCAGCCGAGCGCTACACAAGCAGAGATCCGGCAGATCGAGAGGGTGAGGCTGAAGGTCCCTGCCGTGGAGAGGGTTTATCCGAAGTTTCTCTTCACCACCAATCTTGTCAAAGCTCAACTCGTCAGCCCTGCCGAGAGTAAGTATACTTGACCATTTCGATAGTTTATGGCGTAAATGGGAAATCTGACCGATCTTTGCTCGCAGTGACCGAAGAGAGGAAAACTGCCGAGGCGAAGAGGATGAACGAGTCCTCAAAGCGGCGCCTCATACTCGGCATGCAGGGGAAGAAAAAGGGGCGGCAGGCCGGAACGGTACCGGCGTCTTCGGGAGGTGTTGACCCTGATGACTTAACCCTCAACGAGAGTCGTCGTCAGATGAACGCTGAATTGGCGCATGCCGAAGCGGCCGATGCTGGTCCGTCCCCCAGCCGAGGGTACCTCCTCCAAAACTGCCGGCAAAAGGCCGGTCACGGTCGATCTTGATGCCGATCCCGCTCCAAAACGCGGGCGACATGCCGAGCCTGTTCGGGCCATCTTCTCTGCCGAGGACGACGAGGCTCCTCCCGAAGCTGTCACCCTGGCCTGTCCTTCAAAGACGGTCCAGTTTGTGAACCACATGATCCTCAGTTCACAAATGGAGCTGTCCGAGATCGAGGACCTCCCGAAGAAGCTCCTTCGGGAGGAGGCTAGCCGCGCCTTCCTTCTTCAAGCTTCGGTAAGTGCTTAACGATTTTCAGCATTTTCCTACCATCTGTTTCCCTTTTCGTCTAACATTTTCCTTTGCTGTTCAGGCTTCAATGGACATGTGGCTGTGCGTCAAGCGAGCCATTAATGCTGCCGAAAAGGCGAAGAAGGCATATGAAGACGGCAGAGCGAAGGTTGCCGAGGCTGGTAAAGCCATCCAAGCTCAGGCGAACTTGGCGAAGGACATGCAGGCTGCCGAACGGCAGGTAAAAGTTTATCAAGCCAAGCTCGGTGAGATGTCGGCAGCCTTGGAGGCGGCGCAGCTAACGGCAAGGGAGGCTCTGGAGTCGAATGAGGCGATCCAGGTGGCCTTTGAGGAGTCCGAGCGGGTCAGGGCTTCCGAGATCGAGGCTGCCGTCCAGGAGGAGATACGGGGGTACCGTCGGTCTACCGAGTTCTCTACCTTGCTTGACAAGGAAGTAGGCTTGGAAATAGCGGACCTGCTCTACCGTTTCAAGCGGTACAACCCCGGGAAAAAGCTCAACCTCAACTTCATTGCTGATCCTCCCCCTCTTCCTGAAGGCATAACTGAAGAAATGGTCGAGGAGTACGAGAGAGAGGATGCCACAGAAGAGGCTCCTGCCGATCCCGAAGGGGGTACTGCCGAAGGCGATGGAGTTGCGGCCGAAGCCGATGAGGCTGCCGCCTGACAGAAAGCTTCGTACACTCTACAATGATAATCTTCTCCAAAATCTTCTTCTCATTTTCAACTAAAGCTGGTTGAGCTCTTGGAGATGATAAAGGATTACGAAGTGGAGGACGTCCGGGGAGAGCCCATTGCCCCTGATACCGAGGAGAAGACTGCCGTTTGATCTTGTTTAAGTTTTTAAATGTAATCTGTAATGTAAACTTGATGCCGTGGGCATCTTTTGATGTAACCTCGATGCCGTGGGCATCTTTTTAATTGAAGCTATTTTTATTTTCAAACTTGAGGGTCCAAGTCTATTTGCAATCGGTAAGACGCTTAGGAAAATCTCTTTTCAAATGCCGAGGGCTAGGTAAAGAGTTCATTAGCCGTATTTCAACTAGTAGGAATTTGAGAACAATAGACGTATTTGCCGAAGGCTAAGTAACGGCTTTAAGTGTCGAAGGCTAATAAAAGCTCAAGCCCTTGGATCGGTGGGTAATTAAGGTGATCCTTTCAAGTTGTCCTTCAATCGGTAGGCTAATAGCGATGCTAAAATGCGAAGTTTACTGCGACCGATGGTCTCTACTGTATCTTTTTTTTATTATTTATTTTATTTTTAAAATGAGAAGAAGCTTAAAGGGTACACCGAAGGGTTTGAATATATGAGCCGAGGGCCCTTTCATTGATAAATTGCCGAAGGCAAAGATACATATGGAGTGCATTTTACAATTAAAAACCTGCCATAGCCTAGGGGACGCTATACTGCCGAAGGCTGTGAATATAAAAAATGCCGAGGGCTTTCGGGACTCTATTGTAACCCTGCCGT